GCACCCCCGATGAGTTCTCACGGGCTCAGAGGTGTGCAGATCCTCTACTACTGGCTGCCATTTGCCTGGGCAGAAGCAGGCCTACCTGTACCTGTCCTCATCATCAGGAAGAACAGCTGTGAGCAGAGCATTTCAGTCCTGCCTGAGATCCACTTGAAAAGCCGCCTCATCATGGGGAAGCTGAGGCCGGAGTGGGAAGGTGTTTCCCAAGGTTACACGGTGTGGAGCCTAGAGATATGCCTGACAGGAGTGAGATGTGAACTCAACTTCAGGGGGTCTAGGAGACCCCAGAACAGGCCCAGCCCTCTAGCCAGAGAAGGCTTGCCCTCCCTAGTCCGCAGCAGTTCTGAAGTGAGTTGAACAGGAACTGACAGCAGCAGCAGCTGCTACATCACCAGTCAGCACACTGGAGAATTGGTGACTCACAGACCTCGAGACTTTCCTCGTCAGAAGAAGGGGGGATTTGCAGACCCTTCAGCCGCCCTCACTGCACCAAACCCAGCAGAGGCCATCTGCCATGCTCCGAGGGGGCGTGGTTTCTGCTGCAGGCCACTTACAACTCCTCCCACAGATGGTCCAGGTCCTCAGTCGGAGTCTGGTATCTCTCTGCATCTTTTCCTACTCTGAATTCCTTTGCCCTGTGAAGCCCCTACAGGGATGGACGTGAGGATAGCACTGTCCCATCCCTGTCCCCTCATACAGGCCTGGGCTCCATATATGCCCTGCACCAGAGACACTTCCAGGGCAAGACATCAGGTGATGGGGAGGAGGTAGGGGAGGCTGGAGCCAGTCTAGCAGCTAGGGACACTGGAGGACAGTATCAGGAAATGGGGTATCACTGAGTGGGAAGAGATTGCTACACCCCCCACAAGGGAAGAGATTTTTCTGGCCACTGAGCAGAGCAACCATAGGGCCAGCCCTTCAGGATCAGAACCAAATTGATGGAAAGTGGGCCGAATTCTGAGGTATGGGGCAATATGACAGCAAAGCATCCCTGGAAGATGTGGCAGGAAAGAAAGGTCCTTGGAGGACAGCAGGGCAAGAGAGAAGCAGAAGGGAGGGTGAGTTTGCTAGCCGAGCCATAGGTTCCCAGTGAAGAGATTCCAAGGTGCACAGCGGCTGCCAGTGATCTCAGCCAGCGTGCCACTTGCCCATCTGCCAGGGAGAATATAGAGCCACGTACTACTCAGAATCTGGGGAGAGCTGGGAGGAGAGAGGCCATTCCAACCTTGGAACACCACCTCCTGAAAGCCCACCAGTGGACTTACTCATTCTGTCCTCCGGTCCCCAGCCGTGAACAAAAAGCCCCTCCCTCCTGCTTAGGCTGTTGAGGTCTTGCCAAGTTTACTGTGAGATCCAAGGTGAGGTTGTGAGTTGGCTTCTCTCTCGTGAGAGGAACAGGAGAAGAGGCTTAGGAACTACTCGGCTTGCTCAGACATCAGAAGCATTTAATGGGTGCCATCTCCAGGTATACTGCGGGAGTAGGGGTGTCCCCTGAGCACAGTGGAGGCCTCCCCTGGGACTGACAGACAGATGCCTCTCAGAGACCAAGGGGAGCACCTAGTGCTCAGGCATCTTGAGCTCCAAGATCAGACATTCTCTTTCTTCAACCTCTTGGACCCTCTCTTGCCTCTAACCATCCAGCCCAGGAGCTAGGGACCCTTCCACCAGTTAGATTCACTTAGTTCCCTAGTTTTGGACAGTCAGAGAGTCAAGTATGGTTTCTACATGGTGCAGGAAATTAGAAGAATTCAATTTCACAAAATACAAATTACGTGAAATTAAAATACGAGGTGTCCAAAAAGTTTACCAAAACACAGTCAGGTTTAGTTTCTGTTCGTCTGTCCCCTGTGGTTGCTTCCAAGCTAACACAGCAGGACAAAGTCACGGAGACCAAGTACGATGGCCACAGAGTCTAAAATATCTGCTAGATTTACAGAAAAAAAAAAAAGCTACATCCCATGTTCTAGGCTCCTGCAACACAGTGTACAAACACCACACACACACACACACACACACACACACACACACACACACACACACACACACACACACACCTGGGCCTTCATTAAGGTTGGCTTTTGTGACCAAGTGTTCCCCGATCTTATGTGAGGATGTCTTTCTGTTGCTGCCTGTTTCTATTTCATCTCAGATCCCAGGCAAGTGTCGTGGGAAGCCCACATGCCTTCCCAGCTGTGTGTCACTCCTCTGTGTGTCAGTGTGGGGGTGGTTATCATTGTGTGCTTCTGACGGCATCCAGAGCTCAGTACAAACACATCACAGCTAAGGGCTTTCCTGCCTCCATGTTGCCAGGCAGCTGGACCATGAGGCCCAATCCATTCAGGCGTAGAAGCCCAGTTCCTGCTATTCAGAAGTGGCAGGCAGCCTCTAGGCCTTCCGGGTTAAAAGGCCCCCATATCCCCTGTCTGGAGCATCACAGCTCTGCTCACACACATCCTCTGCTCCTTTCAGTCCCTTCAGGGTCAGCTCCAGGATGGGTGGCTCACAGGTGAGCACTGTGTTCCTGGTCCTAAGTGAAGTTCTCACACTGCATTGAGCGCCCCAGGCCCTGCCATTTGGCCCACAGCACAGGGTCCTCCGCTTCCTCAGTGCCATTCCTGGGCAATGAAATGCATCCCTGCCAGGCTACCTTCTCAGTGAGAAGGCCACCTCGTGGCCCTATCTCCTGTCCTTTCTGGAATCTCACCTGTATTCTGATCTATAAACATGCACTGAGTCCATTCCACCATTCAATACAAACGGAAGGAACGAGTGTCCAAAAGTAGAAGCACGACAGAGAGATGACCGTGTGAAAACAAAACAAAACAAAAAACAAAGGCTCCCAAAGTGCTTCCCCAATCAGCCCCCTGCTAGCCTGAAACATGCACAAAATGTGAATGCAGGCTTTAGCCTGGCCCAGGCTCAGGAGGGCAGGAAAAGGTCCTCCAACAGACATGTCCCTCACTACACAGAGACAGACAGACCCTTGGGGACCTGAGGACAGATGCCCCACCACCCATGAGCCACCACTGATGGCAGAAAGCAGGAGGAACCGTATCTGCATCTGACTCCAGGTCACACCACACACACTTGTTGATGAATTGGTCAGGAGATCGGGCTCAAGGCCAGCTCCAACATGTCCTGTCTTGAATTTGTGTGTTCAGATTTTGGCTTGTGTCCAGACTGGGGCCTTTGCCTGCTCTCTCCAAGGTCAGTGAGGAGCAGGAGTCCTAGGCCCACACTCGGGAATGGGGGATCCTCCAACCTCACCTGCTCACCACACCAATTGCATCCCAGGGCCTCCTGAACAAACCTAGAGCTACTTGCTATCCCTGGGCTCCCAAAAGGCTCAATCACAGTACCCCATCCTCTTCCCATGCCCACAGCCACCTTCCAGCCTCCAGCTTGATCTTCAGAATGGTCTGCCTCAGTTCAACTGCAGCCCCAGGGCAAACTGCCCTCCACATGCTCTGTCTGGGCTCTAAACTCCCACATACCCCCACAGGAATGCACCTGAGCTGCCACAGAAAAATCCCAAGAGGCCCGTTTCTCTTTTTGTTTGGAGAGTGAAGGGTTATGGGACACATAGCCTGAAGTAAAGAAAAGTAGTCACATACACCAGCCCTGAGATGGGCTGAAGAATTACCAAGACCTACTCTCAGGCCAAGATGGTCCAGAAAGCTCTGAGCTCCATGTGGAATTGATGTTCCACTCCCTATCAGCAAGTGAAATGCCATCACTGTCCCCTTCCTGCGTGCTTGCTCCTGAAGATTTAGTTCCATGCACGGGTGCCTGGTCCCTCAGACCCCCAAACCTGCCATGCTGTTGCTGGTGATATGGTCCTGTTCCCAGTAGCTGCCTACTGCGGGCCTTTACAACAGTCAGCAGGGGGTCTCAGGTGGGCCCACTTCAGCAACCCCACTCCCAGCAATAATTTTCTCCCACAGGCCCTGCAGGGCGTTTCCTTGTTAGACCACCAAAGCCCAAGCATCTCTCACTCAACCTTTCTGCGCCGCGGGAAAAAATCGTTGTACTATCCTTTTTTTAAACAATCCAAAGGTTATCTCCACTGGGGGACAAACTAAACTGGTTCCTTCCCTACCTTCATCCCCAGCACATACCTTGCCTACCCCTCAAATATCCCGCATATTGTGGAACCGAGTCCCCCAAAAGACCCTCCAGCATCTCCCTTCCAAATCCGCGTAGGGAGATAGATCTCTTGGGGTCCCTCTGGCCGCAGTGTCATCCCTGCCCCTGAATGTCCTTTTCTGGCACCAGAAAAGGCTGAGAAAGCTAGGCCGATCCCCACTGAGTGGTCTACAGGGATGATAGCCCCCGTTCACGGTCCCAGACACTTAGATGGGGCAGAGAGAAGCGTAGGCAGCCCACAGCCGCGAGAGAGGTTGGGCTCCGGTGCTGTGCCCCGCGCTGGCCCTCGCCGGCGCAGGATCGGCGGAGCATGCGGCTCCAGGAGACCTCTGAGCTGGAGGAGGGGTCCAAGGGCCCCGCCGGAGAGGAGAAGCGTCTGGAGCTGGGAGTGAGCTGCGGAGCGGAGGGACAGGTCGGAGATGACCCTTACCTGCTGGCCGCAGAGCCGAGCCGGCTGCAGGGCGCCGGGACGGAAGATGCAGGGGGGCGCGTAGCCCGCGAATCCGTGCCCGGAGCTGCACTGGCTGGAGCGTGCGAGTCGCGGAGCGCGCGCCGAGCCTGGTCTCTGAGTGCGTGTGGCCGCGGGCAGCTGGGTCTGTGTGTCCCTGCGCCGCGGCGTGTGCGCGTATGTGCACACGGGGACCACGCTAGTCCAGAGGGGCCTGCCAGTCACCTCCGGTGATGGGAGCCAGGAGCCCCTCGTCTGCTTTCGTCCGCTCTGCACCGCGCGGCCCGCTCTGTCCTGCGGGAGAGGCGCCGCCTCTGCTGCGCAGCCAGGCCCGGGGCTGAGGGAGGCGACAGACCACCGCCTCCCCAGCGGACCTCGCAGGCTGGGGGTGGGGTGCAAGCCAATGAGCGCCCGGGGGCGGGGTTAGGCCCGGGGCAGAGATGGGGAGCTGGATGAGGACCACCGCACTGACACAAGCCGGAGCTGCGGCAGAGACCCAGGGCGCGGAGGCGGAGGTAACAGCCCCCCTTTCCCAGTTCTGTCGCAGAGCTTCCGGGCTGAGTTGAGCCTTCCTCAGGACTCTCCACCTTTCTGTCCAACCACAAAACATCCAAGAGGGAAAGCCCTCTCCCTCTCCTCGCTGTGTCCCAAGCTTCCTCTGCCAACCTTGCCACCCCCACCCGAGCAAGTCCCAGGCCGTCTTTGGGCCTTTCTCCGCCCACAGTCCGGGTCTGCAAGGGTTGGATTGCAAGTGCCTGTCTGGATGTCCTCAAATGTGACACTCTGGAGAACACCTCTATAGTCACTGTAGAAGTGATGGTGCTCATAGGAGGTCTCTTAAAATAAATGAGAATGCACTGCCAGCTCTGTGAGTTTGGGCATGTGGCCTGACATTTCTGAGCCTCGACTTCTTCACCTGCGTAATGGAATCATAGTTCTTATTTCTGGTTGTCTTGAGAACAACACTGAGTAAGGACAGTCTGTGTGCCAGTAGTAGGCTTGTACTAGCTTCTATCTATGATGCTGAACAAATTGCTATTGTTATTGGTGACGTGGTCTGCTCAATCTTATTCTGGTACATTTTGGAGGTTTAATGAGCAGAACTCGGCAGGCTAAGGCACATAACCAACTGTCCTGCCACACCCAGTTGGTTGTAACCGCCTCCAGAACATCCTGTGAGTTCTCTGAATCCCCATCACTCAGCCTTCAACCAGATCTGCCGTTGCCCATTTGGGTAAGTTCTAGACCACCCTCCCTGTGAGTCCATTCACTGGGGTACAGAGTGCTTTCTGAGGAATCCCCAAGGAGGAAGAGGGAAGGAGAAAAGTCTTAAGCCTTTCTTTGGAAAGGTCAGTCTAGCTGAAGATAAAAGGTCTGGGACACAGAGAAGAACCATGGATGAGAGCCATACAGAACCCTAACACATAAGACCCCATTTCATAAATGAAAACAATAAGACTCAGAATAAGAAGCAACCTAATGTCCCAGAAAGATATGTGAAGTGCCCTGTATACAGACAGCACATCCATGATTCCCCCTTGTAGCCCAGTAAGCACTGGCCCCTCACCTCACTGTTGGCTGGCACTACCTTGTGTTCCTTTCCAGCCATGTTCCAGAGGAAGAGAAGTGAATAATACCAGTCTTCTCTATCAAGAGTGGTTGGGTCCCCTCTAGAAAGAGCACAGCCAGGTGCTAAGCAGGTGTCAGCAAAACCACCCTCTGGAATGCACTGCATCTCTTTCTAGTCTTTTTTCCCAAGCCGGGAGTCAGTTTCTCTACTCAGCCTCCAGTCCTGACACAGGAACAATCAAATGAGATGTCACCTGCAGAAGTACTCTGTTAAACTGTGAGACATACAGGGGAAGATATGGCTGTTGGGAGCCTCCAGATAGGAAGTGAAGCATGAAACACAGGACATTGGCACTAGAGGATGCATGGAACAGGGAGCGGGGATCACCTACAGTAGAGCAGTTCACTCCGGAAATGGTGATAGAGTGGGAGGCCCACCACTCTGAAGTTGTGCATCCAGTTCCTGAGTTATTGTTACGTTCTCGGTTCTTCACATCTGTGTCCGGGAACCAGAACCCCGCTCTCTGTTCTTTGTTACCAGGTGTACATCATAGTGTCTGAGAAGGCAGTTATGGTGTGCATCTCCCTCTGTCCAGGCAGCCAGCTGTGTAGAAGGAAGTGAGGTGCTCATGCACATGCACACACACACACACACACACACACACACACACACACACACACACCTGTCCTCCCTTTGCCTCATAGCCTAATCATCTGAAGGTGCATCCCCCACAGACCGATTGGGCAATCAGGCCTCTGGTTCTACTTGCACCCAGCCTAAATAGATCTGATAAGGGCAGAGTGTGGATGGAAAACGTGACACACGCAGCCAGGTATGTCTGAAGTCATCCAAAAGTGCTGCTTTTTCTCAGTTGATTCACTTCCCAGGGGCACAAAGATGACTTTCTCGCCAGACCAAACACCATGCCCCAGCAGAGGAGGGTCTTGTGAGCTACCCCCTCCATCATAAGGATAGAATGAGCTTCTGTGCCCTATGCTACTCTGTGCCTTTCACAGGCATTCGTCTCTGGTACTCCTAACACGGTCCGATGCATAATAACTACACCAATTCTGGTCACCCAAACTAAGCATCCTCAAGAACAGAGCCAGGATTTCTCATTATCTCTATGCTCATTCACCCAAGATGTCAACTTCAGGTCAAGTTCTAACCTTTACCTTCTATGCTTGGTACCCCCACCACCCACACCCTAGCTGCCAGGCTCTAGAAAGCATTTGGAGGGGTGCTAAAGAACCACCATGTCAATGGTCTCCCAGAGCCCTCTTGAGGTGCCTTCCCTCCCAGAGTAGGAGAATGAGGGGCCTCCACACCCATTGTTCCCTACCCTGAGGAGCTCATTGCCTCATCCCTCTCCACAAGCCAGCCAGCCAGCCAGCTGAGCAGGCAGCAGCTGAAAAATAAGGGTTTTAATTCGATTTCCTGGGATGAGGGATTGAGGGAGATGGATGCCAGGCCACCCTACCCAGCATTCATATCTCCTGGGCAGCCGTTCCTTCCGTAACTCTAGCCCAGCCCTGGCGCCACTCAGACATGAGCTGCACCTTCCAGAACACAGGTGTCTCATGGTGGAGAGCTGGCATTTCTGGTGTGCTCTCCCTCTGTAGACCCAAGGCTGCTCCAGATTCCTGGCACTGTCCGCTAGAGAAAGGACCCTTTTTAGCTCTTCTCCACAGAATCTCTTCGCAAGCTTTGAAAGAAACACCCCTGCCCAGGCCTCACCACCGCAGATAATTGGATAATTGGTCTGTGGAGAGGCTTGGGTAGGAGTGTTTTTTGAAAGCTCCCTAGGGTGTTTTAACATACGGCCCGAGTGTTCTGGAGCACTGTGAGAAGCCCTCCCCATGCCTTGTGTGGAAACCTCCCAAGGTGGTCTGCTCATACAACCAGAACAGAGACCTTGTGGACCTGGTCCCCAGACCTTGGGATACCCTGAAAAAACAAGGGAATGTATGTTAGTTCTGTGTCTAGAGCCATGCTGTGCAGACTGTGGCCGTGGTGTACTTGAAATCCCTTGACATATCTTAGCAGCTACAGGGAGACAAGGAGGATGGAAGGCCATCTTCAGAGGTACTAGGCACCCCTCAGTCAGAGGCTAGGCTTAAGTTCTCTCTGTCCCCCATCCATTCCAGGGCCCAGCAGTGGATACAGGTGAGTGAGGCAAGGACTATTTGTAATTAGGGGCGGGTGGGAACCAGGGGCAGGTAGGAACCAGGGGCAAGAGATTTGGAACCCTCACTCATAAGGTTCAGGATCAGAAATGATACTTCAATTACAAGTCATTACAGCTGCTGGCAGAGCAGGTCTCAGAGCTACCAGCCCTGTGCCTCCCTAACTCTTAGACATATGCATCTAGGAAGATGGAAAGTACGGATGTTGGGGCGGCCTGGATGAGAGAAATAATTCTTTGAAACGGACAGGAAAAATCAAGAGACCTGTGTGCTGATCTATAGCTCTCTGATCTGTGTACATAGATATGCAAATACTCTGTCCTGCCCAGATGAGTGCACAGGTAAATATACATACTCATGACAACTTCCGGTGCAGCATACATCCCCAGAGGTGTGGTTACAGATGAGCCAGTGAGTGGTACCACACACAGATTCGTGCTCTGAATATACATCTTCTCCTCTGGGATAGAGATATTCCCTCCTGAGGGATCTCAGGCAGACAGCAGAGCCTGTCTGCAGAGGGATAGCTTCATCACTCTTAGGCAATTCTTGTCAGAGAGTGAGTGACATTTTCCATTCACCTTCTGTAGTGCCTTCCCCAGGGATTCAGCTGGTTACTCATGGGAGCCAAATGTTCTGAGAGCCCATAGTTGATGGAGAATGAAGTATTTCTATTCTCACACTATCTCTTCTCTCTCCATAGGATTCTTTTCTCATCCCTCCATCCCCTCCTGTTTTCTCCACTTCTGGAGTTTGTGCACAGCCTCTTTGATTGCAGAAAGGACCCTTCCAACCAAATGGCCACACATGTATTTAAAGGCCATTTTGCACATACCCTACCCTCAGCTAGGAGCAGGTCTGCTACCCCTGGCCTGCTCAAGGTCCTGTCACAATAGATTCATGCATCACCTCTGTCTGCTCCCTCCTTGCAGATACCATAGTCAAAATCAGTTTCCATTTGCTGCTCCTACAGCTTCCTAGAGTCTGTCTTGACTACTCTATAAATATAGTATGCCCCAACCCCACACCAGCCCTGGCTCTAATAAAGGGCCTCCGCAGGCAGGCACAGAGGTGTGGAAATTGCAGATAATGCATGTGGGAGGAGGCAGCCTGCATGAGGCATGAATAAAGCCATTCCCAGAAAAAGTAGTTCAGATAATGTAGGGCCTATGACAGGCTGAGACCTGAGTTGGTATCATGCAAATGATGCTGATAATTATATTAAAAGTAGAGCAAATAGAAGGTTATTTGATGACAAACTTTGGGAACAATTTGGCAGCTGATAAAATAATTCTTTGCTGGAGCAGATAGAAGAACTGTCTGCAAGAAATCCATAAGGTGCCTGGGCCCTAGACCTGAGCTAACGGGAAGGGGATGACTTAAAGCCTTGGAAATATTCAAGACAGAGTCTATATGGTTTTGATTTTCTAGAGCTGTGCAAAATGTTACAACTTAGTGACCTGAGATAATATACCTGGCTAGCTAGCATGTGTCACAGGTTCTATGCATTCAGAGACTGGACAGGGAGTTCTATTCAAGATGCTATAAGGCAGCAATCAAAAAGAGACCAGGCCCGGCAGCTCAGTGGAGACCTGGGATCTCATCCTGATCTGCTGGCAGAATTCAATTGCTTTGGGTTATAGAACTTGGGCCTTAGCTTTTAGAGGGTAGTCACCATGTGCTTCTGAGGCCCATCATGACACTGTGACCCTCAGAGTTGTTCTGCCTCTCTGTCCTCCATCTCTCTTTCAAAGGACTCATCTGATTGGCCCAGGCTCTTTTGGAGTAAACTTAAAGGCAACTCTTTGGGGGAACAGATTCAGTAACATCAGCAATCCCTTCCCCTTTGCCTCCTAAGAGCTCCAATCGGGAAAGCAAAATTGCACCGTACTTACGAGTCCTGTCCACACTTAAGAGGGTGCAATTATATGATATTTCACACCAGGGGCAGGAACTGTGGGTAGTTAAAATTCAACCTATTGCAGTCCCCATTGTCTGCAGCCTGGAGTGTGAGGACCGGACTGGGGCTCAGCAGCCCACTATAGCAGCTCGTTGAAGTCAGAGCCTGGCTGCACCTCCAGTGTTTGGTATCCACTCTGTGCTGATTCTAAGTGAGTCACCAACCCCCATCTCCACTGTACCTTGGTGGGGAGTCCAAAGTCCAGGACAGAAAAATAACTGCATCAACCCATCCAAAGCCACAGATGATTAGGCTGAAACAACATCTGCAACACTGTTGATGAGGAGCTTGTGTGACAGGTTCTGTGCTGTCATCGTGAGCTCATCAAGCTTTATTGGTTAGGGACATGGTGATCATATATGCAGGTAAAGAAACCAAGTCCTTTGTCCAAAGATGCTGCCAGCCCACTCAGTTCAACCCTAATGTCACCAACACTGCTTCTGTCTATCAGGGGACAGATGTGCAAGAGGACTCAAAGACATTCAGCTACTTCCTTCATTCCTGCACTTCTGCTCAGGTTCCTGGGGGAAATCAGTCCTGGGTCTGTTTCACCCTGGGATGACTGCCACAGAGAGAGGGGTGTTTTCAGTTATTCCTAATCAGCCTGACTGACGATCTCTGTCACCAGGCTGTCTCTTTGGCTGCTTCTGTGTGTCTTGAGGATACTTCTACAGAATGGGGGACCTCATCTGCAGTTGTCTGGAAGGAAAGGTCACAGAAGAATGTTATCTGGGGATGAGCCGAGACACACCCTAGTCACAGTAGCTCTTAGAGACTGCTGCTTCCACCAAATCCCCAGTGGGAAGCTTTCCTCCAGCCCCCAGGCTACCTCCACCATCCTTATTGTTGGAAGGAGCCACCAGGCCACTCTCTGAGGAACACATCTGCCCAGCACCCTTTCCCCAGATCTCCTCATACATCCCCTCTCCTCTTCCTCAGTCCACATGGCCCTGCCATCACGAACCCTGTCATCTCTTCTTGATTCACTGAGGTTAACAGTACTGGCAAGGCAGAGACTTCAGCTTCGGCCCTCAGGGTTCAAACTGCCATTCCTACAAGGTTGTTTAACTTTCTGTGCCTCTATTTCCTTACCCACAAAGCAGAGCTAAATAACAGTAGTGAGTCTTTAAGGCCGTTGTGAAAATATATATATATATATATATATATATATATATATATATATATATATATATATATATATATACATGACTTGGAGTGATGCTTAGCATAGGGTAAATACAGAAGAGTCATGTTTCGCTTGCTTGCTCATTTTCATTTTTCATATTGTTTTCAACAATTTGTTTGCTTTAGTTTTTGTTGTTGCTGCCAATTGCTTTTGACAGGCTCTCCCTACTTAGCTCAGGCTAGACCTGGGATCCCCCTCCTTCTCAGCAATGCTAGAGTTAATGCGCAGCCACATCAGGCTTGCCCTTTTCCTCCACGGCCCTCTCTGTGCACACCCGACACACCACCTGTCCCTTCCTATGAGACATGTCTCCCCTAAGCCATCCCAGGCTGCCTGAGGACCAAGTCTTTCTTTGCTCATTGCTCCAGCCCCAGCTTGGGCAGCTGAACACTGTCAAACCAGAGACTGACTCCTAACTTCCCGCTGCACACTCAGAAAGTGCAGTTCTGAGAGAATGACAGGAAGTTTCTGTTTCCAGCACCTCTTAGCTGTGCCCCCTGAACCACAGCCACAGACCCCATTTCCAGATCGTTCCTCTCCAACACACTCACCAAGTCCTAGAGTCCAGCCCACCAATTTGAGACCCCCTGCCCTACAATCCTGGAGTTTTGGGGGCTTTCTAGAATAGACCCACGTGACTCAGGGATTCCATAATGAAACTCTACCCGAGCATCGCTGATAGGATGCAGGACTCTTGGAAAGGAAGCCTAGACTTTCAGAAGAAACTCAGAACTGAATCATGGGAGGATCTGGAGAGACCATCTGACCAGCTGGCTCCCTTACAGTGTCAAAAAAAAAAAAAAAAAAAAAGGCAAGTGGCCCTTGTGTGTGCTCTGAGGCTAGGGCCGGGCTAGTGGACAGAGCGGTGGGAAAGGGCTCCCCTGTGAGGGTTGCTAGGCACTGGCAGAGGGACAAAGAGCTGCCTGGTCCAGTCAGCAGAGCCAACACTGCATCCTAATCAGGCTACTGGGGGAGGGAGGTGGGCATGGCTGGTCCAAATCCCATTACAGCTGCTCATCCAGCTGCCAGTGCTGGCAAAACCCCAGACCCCAGCGCTGCCCTCTCCTCCCCTGATCGGGATAGCCTGCAGATTCAGTCTGCAGAGCGCCTCAGGTTCTGAAGGTCTTCTGTTTCACTCAAATCCCAAACACTAAGGAGAATGTAGCTGTGCCTCGAGTACCAGGGAGGTAAAGGCAAGGCCAGTGACACCAAGGAGCCAGGAAAAGATGGTGGGGGTGACACAAAAAGCATTGAGTGTGAGACCCCAGAACATTCTCAAGCCAGCCAATACTGTGGTCCAGCCAGGCCTGTCCCCTTACCCTTTCTCAGATTGGCCTCTAATTCCCACTTCAGAGAAAGCCTTGGCTCAGGTCATAAAATGACCCATAATCTTCATCCAGGACAGAGCTCTGCCCCTACTCAGAGTCTCCCAGCATTCTTCAGTGGGCATCTCTGTATCTCGCCCATCTCCATAGAGCTCTCTCTGAAGACAGGACTCTTCTTAAAGAACTGCTTGTTCCCTGAGACCTACTGGCTTCTAGAAACTTGCAGCTGCAAAGCCCTAGCCCATACTCCCTCCCCCTGCTCCTCAGAGTGGACTCATCCTGCCCTGGGGTGTGTGTGTGTGTGTGTGTGTGTGTGTGTGTGTGTGTGTGTGTGTGTGTGTGTGTGTGTGTGATTCCAGAAGTAACTCTGTGCCAAAGGTCCTTCCAGACTCTGTCCAGAGTCTAAAAGGAGGTCAGTAGGCAGATGCTAGTCCCACCCAGAGTCAAGACATAGATGATGGGGACAGAGTCATCCTTGTTGGAGGTGAAGATGCAGATGGTGATAGAATTGGTGAGTGACTGTGGAGGTAACCACCCTGTAGGGACCGAAGTACTGAGTGAATGGGTACTGTTGGCATGAGCACAGCCATAACAAGGACCCTACTCTCAGACCCTTTGGGAAATGGCAAATTCTCCTTCCCCTGCCATGGGCGCGACTCAGGGCAAAAAGAAAAATGGTAAAGCCTTCCCTTCTGGTCCACAAGTAGATGGTGATAGTGTATGCAGAAAATGTCCACCATAGCTTTCTCCCCACAAATGTTTACAGCCTGAACACTGCTCCCCTACAGAGACTGCTCCTACTGAGATTATCTACACCTGACTCCTTGATCCAGCTGTTGGATAAACATAAACCATATTTGCCATAAACTCTGCCTCCTTGTAATGACCTCATCTTCTGTTCAGCTGAATGCAATGACTCTGCCTCTCTGTGTCAGTTCTGCATACTAAACATGCGAGATTCTAGGGTATTGGGGTTTCTCCATTTGAGAGCCCAGACCACCCAATTCCAGCTTCCCTGTATATTTATGTGCTCATGTTTTCTTCACTCCTTCGGCGCCCCAGTCAAGTCCACTCCTAGAAGCCATGCAGTGACTCAACTCATCACCACCTGGTGTTGGGAATGGAACACTGACCTTGATAATTTTGGTAAATGGAGTCAAATAGGGATGAATGTCCTAAATGGACCGTGCACTTCACACATCTCATGCTGGTTCCTCAGCTTTCTTTTTCTTCCGTATTTGAGGCCAGAGAATTTCTAAGAGGGATTCTGAATCTTCTGCCATCATCAAGATAGGGGGAAGCTGTCCTCTGCTCTTCAATATGGCTGCGGTGGAGGCTTCAAGACCTCCTTGGGACCTTGACTAACTAACATTCTCATGCCCACAAGCACAAGGGGTCCTGTCTAGAAAGGAGAAGAGAACCTGAAAACTCTTGGCTCTCCAACTGTCCAGGAGGAGAAATGAGAAAAGACTGCCCTGGTTGTACAACGAAGAAATAGCATGGCCAGCCTCGCATGGCACATGTGGCCACAGAGCATGCGGGTCATCAGGAAAACCTTTATCACCCCAGCAGCTTTCCTAAACATCTCTCCAGTGAGAATCACGTTCTCTGCGTGATAAGTGAGATGTATGCAGACAAGTGGCCTCATGGATGGTGGCAAAAGAGACTTTCCTTCTAAGCTGAGTTCACGCTGCCAACCACATTGCTTCAGCCGCATCATCCCATATTCATTGCTCAGCAAGGACAACAAGGAAGGCATATGAGTTGAGACCTTTTATTGTCAGGCTGTCCTAGCCAGTGTTCAGTGTGTCTCTGGCTCTAAATCCCAGTAGCCATGACTGCTCACCGTGAAATTTAAAACACCCTCGAACATTTCTAACGTGACCTGCCTCTACTCATCGAGAACTACACAGAGGTCATCCTGCAGGACTTGCAAAGAGAGAGTCCTCAGCCCTGTTTAGGCAGCGTGATCCTACCACCTGCCTCCAAGCAACTTAGGAAAGGTTAAGGACTCAAAGTTGGAACCTCAGAACAGCATTGAGGTCACTAGAGGAAGGTGAGTAGGTGGGACTTTTCCCCTTCAAAGTTGGACATAACACAGGAACCTTCAAATGACTGCCTATATTAGTCATATGCATTGTTCTGGGGAAAAAAAAAACTAGGAAAAGTAACCTAAGGGAGAAATAATTTTCCCGGGTTTGTGGTTCCAGTGGTATCCATCCATGTCTGCTATCTTTGTTTTTTCTAGGCTGTGGTGAGGCTGAACACCATGGTGAAGTCACTTACCTCCTGGTGACCAAGAAGGGGAGAGAGGGAGGAAGGAGGGGGGAAGGCAGGGAGTGGTTGTACTGTGTACTCTGTGCATTAGCTGGCTGCCTTCTTCTTCCTCTTTGGTTCTATCCAGGTCCCCACACTAGTAGATGGTACCATTCAAGGTCAAGGTGATTCTCTCCTACATTGCTTTGTATCCCATATATTAAGTACCTCTGGAAACATCCTCACTCTCACACCCAGAGGTGTGTCCAACTAATTTCCTAGGTGTCTATCAGTCTAATCAAGTTAACAATGATTATACTACATTTTTGGCAGTTTCTATTTTTCTAGTTCCTTAATCCAGATAGTTTATTGATCCAGCCAGGACATCCCTCCAGAGGTCCGGACTCCCATGTATATAGCAGCCCACATGAGCCCAGTAACTTCTGGGACACTTCCCGGCCGCATTTCCATGTTGAACACAAGAGCCTGCTGTCTCCTTGCTTCCCAATGCTCCTCCTCTACAAATGTACCTCATTTGCATTCTTGGGGAGTTGGGAGCCCGGGTGTCACTCCTTACAGTTGCTCCTCATAATTCATAAGCAGTGTTAGTGAGGATTTCCAAGGGCTAGTCACAGTGGCACACTGAAATCGCAGTGATCCATTCCTCCTGGGCCGTTTGCTCAAATGGGATGCACAGAATTTAAGCAATGATTAACCTCTTAGTGGAACACAACTAGAATGTTGGCACTGGGAAGCAGGGCACTCTGATCTCAGCCAGATGTCAGGGATGTGTCCCTGAGAAGTTGGCTGATCTTAGATTTAAAGGTCAAGTTAAGGAATAACCGTGGGGCGGGGGGACTATAATAGAGAAAACAAAAGCACAGGCCACAGAGAAAAGCAACAGCATGCATGAGACCCAGTGCACACAGACCATGAGAGAGCCAGCCAATGGGGTTGGACCGAGTTTGAGGCATAGGGCCAGATTGCATGGTCAGGGGCCTTATCCTCAGAGCAGTGGGAAGTGGTCAAGAAGAGGACCAGATCTCACTTGCATTTTGAAAGTATTACCCACGATGCAAGGAAGAGAGGAGGCTGGAGGGTACAGAGAACAGAGCCGGAAGACTGGCTGCATCGGGCAAAGACTGAGGGAAGGAGAGAGAGATGGAGAAACAGGAGGCTATCTAAGGAGAACAGCCTGGCTGCGTGAGCGTGTGATTGAATTTGGGGCACTGGGATGTAAACAACATCCAGTCTATTCTTTTGAAGGGAGGACCATGAATGTGCCATTTGCTTTCTCCTCCCCACCGACTGGAAGAGAAGTGTGATAGTACAAACCAGCATAACCCTGTGAGGAAGAGAAAGCTGCTTCTTGAGAAGTATCTGGCTTACAGGTGAGTCACCTTGGATTAGTATGCAAGGAAGCAGTCCGCTTCTCTTGCATTCTGACACTGATGTTCACTGTTACTATTGAGGAAGCAAACCTTCAAAGGATGGATGAGCCGTGAAATACATGGAGGTTGAACCTAGAGTCGATGGCTGACACCAAGCTGCATTATTGTGTACCTGGTGGACACATTCATTGAAGGGAGCCTGACTTGGGGCAGATGGGTTTGAGATACCCTAAGAGAAGCCCAGGAAGAGACATCACGGGAGGAAGTGAGAAGTTCAGAAAAGAGATTGAAGTTGGAAGAGCAAGCCTGGGGTTGGAAACAAGTCAGAGGTTCTCCACCCTGGCAGCACAAGACTATTTCAGAATTCTGGTAACAAGACACAATACAAATTCTGACAGAAGGGATTTGAGGCAAGATCTGGCATTGGGGTTTTCTTAAAAGTCCCCATTCAATTCTCACAGGCAGCTGAGAGTGGGGCTACTTGGGTGGATGACTGAAACACTGGAGGGGACAGATGGAAGAACAGAGTGAAGAGACTTGAACTCAGAGCCTGTCCCCTACAGTGCCTCCCGCACCTCCTGCTACTGCCTGCTGATGAGAAAAAGTGATGACACCTAGCCACTGCCCAGTCAGCCCATGGCAATGGCCACAGGGAACATGGCAGGGACACCAGATAGGACATACATTGTCCTCTCAGCAAGAATGGGCTCTAGAGTGACAGACAATGGCCTCTTTTCTTTGGCCTATACCCCCACTGCCCTCTAGACTCTTAGGAACTTCTCTAGGCACTGCAGCTGATCTGGGCATAGGCTACCAGGGAGTGGACTCCACAGGCCTCCTTGGGAAGGAGCCCCTTGCCCAGGGCCAGCCTGTGAGTTCTGTCACTGCAGCTGCTGGCCTGTTGCAAGCACCAACCTATGCTGCAAGCTCACAGGCATTCAGGCTATTCTATCACCTCTTCCCCTGACAGCTGGCCATGTGGCTTTGTTGATCCCATCTATGCATCAAGAGAACTATGGTGAGCCCCTACCAAGACAAGAGGTTGCTAGTGAAACTAGCGTCACAGGGCCCCATCCTGATGCATACTAGTTCTTCTTCTACTGTTGTTGTTCCCCGGGGTAGAGACCGGCCAACCTAGCCCCAGTGAAGAATATTCTCCAAGTGCCTGAACTGTGGTCACTGGCTGTCAATTTATCCCACACTAGGATATATCGACACAACTCAAGGAACTTGAAGGAGTCTCTGTATCAGTCCACCCAACTCTGGCTTTCCTCCTTCGAGTAAGGTCTCGAACTAAGGCTCCTGTGTCCCCTTGTACTCTATCATCCCCCTTGCTGGGTCACCTGCCGGGGCGGAAGGTCAGAGGGAGAAGCACACCAAGGTCTCCACGCACAGGTGGAGAGAATGAACTTGGCCTGTCCCGTAACGAACAAGGAGGCTGCAAGACCTGCAGCTTAGTGGCTGAGGAGAATGGAGGTGATGCCCTCTGCAAGCCGGGGCAGATGTGGTGACACTGTCAGCCCCATTGAAGGCCTGGGACTTTGTCTTCAGTGTGGTGGGAAGCCATAGCAGCCGTTTACAGTGGTTGAGCAAGTCTGCTGTGGAGGAACCATGACGCAAGGAGACTGTTCATACTCCTTCTGGCCAGTGCCTTTACCACTAGGCACATATGATTCTTGAACATTCTACACATGGCTTGTTCAATGGAGATGTGATGGGAATGTAAAATAAATGCTGGATTTCAGACTTGGCACATGAGAAAGAAGGCAAAATAGGTCAGTCATATTTTATGCTGATAGAATTTTGAAATAATATTTTGAATTTAGTAGGCTAAATAAAATATACCATTAAATTAATTCTATGTGTTTCCTCTTAATACAGCTGCTAGATGTTTTGAATTTATATATATGGCTTCATTGTGGCTCTCATGTTTCTATGGGGCAGCAGTGAGTGGCCAGAGATAACCCTGATTAGCAGGTTCCTACCTCTACGCACAAGCCTGTTTTACATGGACCACTTGATTTTTCACAAGTGCAGAAGGGATATATCATTCTTATCTTTGATTTATACATGAGGAAGCTGTGTCCCAGAGAGGCTAATTAACTCACCCAAAGCTGCACAGGCAGGCAGTAGGCACATAGCAGAGTCTGAGTGCTGAATCACTTCCTCTGGGAATGGAGGCCTGGCCTTGGTGGCAGTGGTGGGGAGGGGGAAGGGTGAGTCAGAACCTGCAGGGGCTCAGCAGGCATCAGTGAGGGATCAGCAGGCCCTGGGAAGCCTAAGGAAAGTCAAGGGATACAAAAGGCACAGAAGCATCTAGGTGTGAGTAGCAAGAAAGGGCACTGCCATTCATAGAAATGGAGCCTGCAGGCTGGGAGAAGAGGCTCAGGAGATCTGTGTGGGTCCTGTGGAGAAGGTGGATGGATTCACAGTGAGGCATGGAGTGTAGCTAAGCGTTGTTGGCAGAGAACCTCAGAGGGCAACGGGACTACCTAGAGAGTACAGATGTTGAGTGAAGGGCTTCAGAGCGGGGCTTGGAGCAAGGCAGGAAGGAAAGGTAAGGAGCTAAGAGAGGAGCTCAGAGGCAAGGACAGAGAAGAGAGGCAGGGATGCATCGGGAGTGGTGATGGCGGTGGGCATAGATCCCTTTCAGGCTCATTGGAAGCCTTTGGGAGTGAGACAGTCTGAGGGACGCCCAAGGCAGGGCATCTGTGATACAGGGCTTCCTCCAGTTAAGTCCTGCAGGCATCAAGCTCATCCTTGATCCCCAAGAGCTAGGGAGCCCTTGTTCCTAAGAAGGGCTATGCCGAGTGGCCCCAGATAAGTAAGAGGAGGCCTCTTCAGTATACACAAGTGACCTAAAAAACTCATTCATTTGGTAGCCAGGAAGTCCTTCCTTTTGTCTGACTATAATATTTATTCAAAGTTCTTGTAGTTTAGCTGAACACACACCATTTCCTTGGAACACTACTTATACACAGAGACTGGATTCTGGTTTGACAAAGTACTCGGGGCTCCCCGGTTCCTGGTGCAGCCCCACCTGGCTTCCTCTTCTAGCTGGCCCATTCCTGTCTGCCTGGGGCTGGATTGGGCTCTCCCACCCCTTCATTAGTACTGCCGCCCCAGCTCTCCAGGTTCTCTCTGTCCCCATCGCTAATCTCCCCATCAGCAGCTTCTCATCAACTGCACTGCCTACAGAAGCAAGTGCTTTGTCGATGGAAAAGCCCTTTGGGGGCAAACACAGGAAATGAAAGAGTGTGCACAGTAAGAAAATCCAATCTTTTGCACGGGTTTCTGAAATCTGATTCCTATGACTTCTGCTGAGTGTTAGGGATCTACTGCCCATTACTTATACCTATGGAGGCTGACCGGAGGGTGGGGGGGGTGCCAATAGGAAGGCCTCTGCTGAGATTCTGCCATGCTTTGTCTGTGCTTCTAGGGCTCAAAGGCCAATGGTCTGCCAAGATGTCTTTGGTAAAGAGGGTCTTCAGGTCATTGGCTAATACCCAGGGTGGATTTGCTGATGGCCTGCAGAGAAGAAGGTGTTGTGCCAGAGGAGACATGGGCACATGCAGCCAAGATGTGTGACTCTAAGTGTGATGTGTTAAGGGGATGGATTTCCTCCAGGACAAGATGGAATCAACCACCCTACATTTTAGTTGATCATGTTTCTGTTGCTCTCCAGGACTCCAGTTGGCTGGACTTGATTTAAGGTCCCTTCATACACCACTCACTCAACAGCCTTGGCCTTCCATCTGTATGCTAAGACTTACAGGAGCCTCTGTGAATAGTGCCCAGAGCTCCAGAAACTGCTCCCATCTCACTTCCCAGGCCCAAATGCTACTTGGAAACCAGGCTGAGATGGCAGCTTGCAATCAGTGCATTGGAAGTCTCTGCCCAGCAAGGGAATGAGCTGTGTAAGTTCCAAGACCTCATGGAGGGCGGGGGCGGGGAAACATTATGGCCAAGCTGTCCATGCCGAAGTAGAAACATTTTCTCAGGAGGGTTACCGCTTAAAGCTCTGAGTGTCTTGCCAGATGTGTCTCCTCATGCCACATCTATTGTTGCCATGCGCTCACTATCCATCTCCCTGCCCATCTCCCACGGTATTATTCTAGTCTCTTCTCTATATAGCACAAGCACCAAGACCACAGGGACCTTCTCTGTCTTGATTCAAGTACTTTCTTTGCAAAGGCAGGGGATCTCAATTAGTGTTTGTTGAAGGAACTGAAGTCCTTGCTCTGGCCTCTGGGTCTCAGGCTCAATGTCAACAATAGCTCCCCATGAGACCAGCCCAGAATTGCCCCTGGATTTTCTAGTATTTGGTCAAGTAGTTGCTGCTTGGCAGGCTGCAACGGATAGCAATTCAGGTTCAGTTATAGCCTGTGGAGGTGTAAGTGAATGAAGTCCACTCACCATAGAGTCAAGCCTAGGGGAAAAGGGCATCCTTCTTTCACATAAAGGGGCTACGGGGGCCTGCGGGCAACCTGCCCTTGTGGATATTGCTGTTTGGTGATAGTTGTCTAGTCCCAAGAGAACCCCTCTGCAATTAGCCGTTTCTACTGCTGCCCAGGCCTGCCTAGATGGAAGTACCTGGATATTTGCTCCAGACCTAGGAGTCTGCTGAGGTATAATGGTCTCTCCTTCCCTGGCCTTGATCTGTCCAGCTGTCCACAGACAGAAACAGCATCCCCAGGGCTCTCTCGGACACAAATGCTTCTTTTGGACTCCTTTCCCAGGGGCAGCTCTAACATCCTGTTCTCTCAAGACAGGGAAACAATGGTGTCCTTGATGGAGTGTCTATGATCTGAAGCCAAGATAGATGCTCAGCCACCAGAACCTGGTGGTCTTGGGGAGAGACTTCAAGGGCAAACCTAGCTCTGGGAAGGAATGCCTTCCAGAATCATGGAGTAAGGGTCACAATGACTTCTGGACCTTAGACCTAAGGGTCTTGGGAGATATTTCTAATAAATGCGCATGAGATCAGCACCCTCCAAAGACCTGTAGGCCAGTTTGGGCAGCTGTCCAAAGGCCACTAGCTACCTGAAGGCTCTCCGTTCCACAGGGCTGTGATAGCTAAGCTCCATTCTTGTCTTCAGTCAATAAACTAGAGGGATAGAGGATTTGCTCCCTTTTTTGGTAGATAGAGAAATGTGGAGTCCAGGTTGTGAAACCTCACAGAGACTGCTTTGGAAAGCAAGGGTCACTGTCAGGGCAGTATCAGGAGAATGAGATGGGAGAGGTACAGCCAGGGCCTCAAAGCCACTTTCCCAGGACCCCTGGCCCTAGTGCCCCACCCCCACAGACTCAGCCTTTGTCTGATTTGCTCACTGTGACAGCTGGGAAGGCTGAGCCTCACCCTGGCTCCTGCCATCAGCCATCTCTGTGTGGCACTAAAGATCGGCTCGGGCACCAGGCCCCGGCAGCAGGCTTGGCAGGTGGCTCTGTGTTGCCAGGGAGACCACAGAGGAGGAAAGCTGTTCCACAAGGCTGCAGAAGACCAGATGGCCCGGGGTCCCAGAGGTGCATGTCTTGGGGACCACAACCTTGTGTACATACCGCTGGAGTCTCACAGGCATGCAACCACTAGCTAGATGGGGGAACTGAGATGCAGAGCCCAGATCACCAACCACTGAGGGTGGGTGTTGGTTGAGGAGCCGAGGACAAAGCCAGGGCTCTGCCTCATCCTGACCCCTGATGGCCAGGTACACAGACAGAGAAACTCATGGGCCTACACATATACATGCAGGTTTTCCCCTGATAAGAGCCCCAACTCTATTAAAGGTCCTTATTAAACTTGCTCCCGGGAACAGATACAATGGAACAGCTGGAGACTGAGAGAGACTCCAACCTATAGTGTACAGGGAACCAATGAGCAAACACAGATATGTAAGGTGCAATCTGGCTGGGGACCCAGAAAAGGGGTGCTGAGGCAAGGTGGGGAGGAGAGTCAAACCTTGCGCTGGCTGGGTCTTAGAACTGGGAGGGCTTGTTGATGGGACAAGGAAGGAAGCCCCTCCAAAAGGCTGACCTTGCTGTTACAGTCTCCTGTAACTGAAGGTGGGGGACAGCATGAGAAGAAAGTAGAAAAAGAGCCCATTGCCATCTGCAAATGTTAGGTCTCCTGAGACCGCTAGGGATCCATGTGGAAGGAACCCATTATCCTCAAGGTGAATATGACTGAAAAGGCTAGTATCACAGTGGCTGAGTTTTGTCTTGGGACAAGATACAAATCTCTTCCTAGGCCAGTGCTCAGAAATGCTGATCAGCAAACCAGGGTCCTAGGCCAGCAGGCTTGCCTAGGAGTCCCCTTGAGTGGTAGGAACTTCTGCTCTCCTCTCCCCAGAACCTGAACCAAAAAGAACCTTACACAGACTCTAGTGAAAAGTTGGGATGTGAGCCTGGAGGCTGAGGGCTGGGGAGCTGGTATGAGTGGGGACCTCAGTAAGGGACAGGAAAGTATACTAATCTTCCCAAAGAAGTGGAGGGGACAGCCAGACTCAAACTTCCTGCACAAGATCTGGAAATGCTCAGCTCATTCCTCTACCAGTGGAACTGGGGAAGGCTGGCTTGATGCTCTTCAGCTCTGACACTCAGGCATAAACTAAATGGAAGGAGGATCTGGGCTGATTCTCAGGGTTCATGTAGCGGAGCTAAATTACTCCACAGCCCTCTCTGTGGTGCCAACAGAAATCCCCACCTGCTGGAGGTTGTCACATAGGCAGCCTCTGCTCCCTAGAGAGCCGGGAGCTGCCTGCAGCCCCGGGCCTCCCGCCCCCAGACCGAGCCTGCTGCTGGAGCTGTCAGCCCTGCTCCCAAACAGGCTGATTATCCCCATCTGGGGAAAACAAAACAT